CATTTATCTCCAGTTTAGGAGCAAGGATGTTGTGCAGAACAGTGTCAAATGCTTCACACAAATCCAGGGAGATGATATCAGTTGCTCTTCCCTTGTCCATTGGTGCTGTTATCCTATTGTTTGTTAGGCACAGTTTGCTTTTAGTGAAACCACGTTGACGTTGCCAATCAGCTCCTTACCATCCATGTATCTTATGTTGTTTCCTGGAGATTCTGCTCTCTGTGATCTTGCCAAGCACTGAGGTGAGATTGACCGGCTGGTTTTTTTTCCCTGGGTTTTCCTTTGTTTCCTTTTGTAAAAATGAGGGTTATATCTCCTCCTTTCCAGTCAGTAGGAACTTAACTGGGCTGCTACAGCTTCTCAGATATGATTGAGTGTCTTAGTCATAATTTTCCTATCCTTAGAAATAAAAACTTTCAGATACAAAATTTATGCTATTTATAAGATACATCCTGTTAAATATATGTGAAGGATGATACTATGTTAGAATTATTTTGTAGGAAAATGCATATATTGGTGGATGGTAGTTGCCTACACTTTCTTGAATTATTTTGTTCCCAATAAACCAAATATACTGATTTATTCAAGTACAATTTAAAAGGTTGGTGGATATAAAACTTAGTCAGGGAAATCCAATAAAGGCTTGACATTCCTTTTTACATGATTTACGGAGTCTGCAGAATATATTGCTTCTCTTCAGAATTAAAAATTCACATATCTAACAGCCTACACTAGGAGCAATGCTGCAACTCATTAGAAAGAAATACAAGGGCATGCTTTGAATCATAAAGATGGGGAAAATAAATGTCAGGGTTTTTTAATAAAAATGTACAGTGAAATTTACGAATGTGTCTGTCATCTTATGAATGTCTGAGACACGGTGAAAGAAAAATCAGTATGGACTTTGCAGGCTGCTCTGCTCTTGTGATACAGACATGCCACAGGAAGTATGTGAGGGCAGGAGATCCAGTTCTTCTGTTCTCTTCTTCTCTGTGTGTTTTAGGAAAAAAATCTGCTGAGGCTAGTACAATTCTGTGCATGTGAAGTGATATAAATAAAGTAGAACGCAGTCCAAGTTAGTGTTCTTTTTAGCCAGGGTGTTAGATCTGAAGTCACTTTTCTATGAGGTAGAAATTTTAGTGCAGGATTTTTAATGTTAGGAGTACTGTAGGATTGTTTGTGGCATCCAGCAGTTGAATATATTTAAACCTGAAAGTTTTACAATCTGGAAGGAAATGGGATGCTATAGTGAAAAGTAGTTTAAAAAGAAGTTATGTCTGTGAATCCCAGACGCATGGAGAAACTGTGTCCTTGCTGAAGGTCATGCAAAAGAATGTCTGAATGAAAGTCATTCAGAATAATCAGCTGTTCAAAATACTGTTTGGCTCATTAGTCTGAATGAAAAAGCCAAGCATAAACAAAATTTGAAGGCTTTGACAGAATTCCTTGGGAAAAGCAGTAAGTCTGCAATTCTGAGCATTTGCCATAGCACAGTAGGTGAAAAGAAAGCCTATTTGGGAGACTGAGGAACATGTTTTAGCTTTTATGTACTTGGTAGTGATTTGAAAAACCAGTGGATATTACTGATTGTTCATTGAGTTAAATGGATTAAGTCAGAGATACTAGGATCTTTAGTTGATTTTTAAAATTCATATTATATATATTTTTTTCAGATGTTTAACTCTACTTCAGAACGAGTTGTCCTTGGCTTTGCAGAGTATTCCTTGCCAGTGCTTCAGTAGGGAGAAACAGAGTTAGCATAGAGTGATAGGAGTACTTCAGTATTACATTCACCTCACATCCATGAACACTTAGGCTGGGAATACAGTTTCACATGCTGCTTTACCTTGTTTAATTTCAGGCTGTCATCCAAAAGAGGTAGTTCCTTTGAGGAAATCCCTGTCATGTCAAAACCTAATCTTTTCTTGCAGAGGTTGTCTGTCTCTTGGATCAATGGACTGATGTAGCTCACTGGGGATGCTACAATTCTTAAATGTGGGGAGAGAGGGCGGGAGCTTGCAGTGAGGAGCAGAAGAGCTCAGGATCTCTGATCTCTTCATATCTTCTTGATAGCTACTTCTTTTTAGATTGGAGTGGGAAAATCCACCCTCATATAAAGTACCAGCTTTTTTATTTAAGTGAAAGGAAATGCTGGAGAGAACACTAAGGTCTGTTCTTGCAAAAAGAAGGGAATATAGCCAGTGAATGGATAGCCCTAATTCCACCCCTTTACACACACACAAACACACACACACACACACACACACACAAAGGTTCTATTTTAAGTCGTGGAAATAATTTCCTTACATAATTCTGTGACTCCACCCAGCAACCCAAAAAAGAAAAGTCATTGTTCAACACTTTGTGAATATTCCTTTTCTCATACCTGGAGTTGTTTAGGGTATACAAAATATTTAAGTACTGAAAAGTACCTTCTGATAAAGTACTTCAATGATTAAGAGATTACGGTGATTTCTGGCAAATAAAAGGGAAACTACTTTTTTTAACCTGGCCCTTAATGCTTTTTTAGTAGCAAAACCAATTGTATAGATGAGGTAATTTATCAATCCAGGAGTCAGGTTAATTCAGGTTTAATTTTATTTGGTTTCTGAACTCAGATTTTTGAACTGGTTCTTTTTTTTTTTGGTGCACGTGTCTTGACTCAAATACACTGAAGTAGTTCATTTTCTTAAAACAATAGTTTAGCTACACTTCTATCCATTTTAAATATTTGAATCTTTCCTTCCTCTTTCTATTTTCCCCATGATATTCAATATCTCTGCCAAACCAGCATAATGACTTAGGGTAAACTTTCTCTGATTAAATATGTGAGAAAGCTTATGTGTGAAGTTCAGAGAGTCATGGTCATGCCAATCTTGATTTTATGTCTGGAAATACTGGTTTTTGACATTAAACAAAAGGTGTATCATGCTTTTCCCAGCATATACTGATGTGAATACATTTGCAGCATTATCAGCTGTTGTGGAAAAAAAGGAATGTGGTTTAATTAAGCAGAAATTTATTATCTTACCTGGCAACTACACAGTAGCAAGTATTAAATGTGAAAATCCATTTAATCTGTTGGACCCAGCCTTATGCTGGGAACTCACTATCAAGATTAAAGAAGAGCAAGAAAAGATCTTATTTCATTTTTACCTTCTCCATGATTTCATGGATGATGCATCCAAGAGACTCCTTTTTAAAGAAACCAGCTCCTGTTACAGAATGAGTTGTGAAGTTAAAAACAAGACACGAGTATGAATGCAAAGATGTGATGCACTGTAAAAACTTGTACACATTTTTAAAACAATGATACAGGGTACAAAAAGCCTCGTTGCCTTTGTGTTCCACTCACATTTCAAATGTGAGAAAACCAAAACTCTTCATGATATGAATCTTAAAGGAGACACAGATTCCAATTCTGCATAAAACTCAGTGCAAAATTCCAACAAAACAGAAAACCCCAACCAAACCCACAAATGTAGAAAACCTTAACACATTCCCCATACCCTCATCCTTAGAACTTTTTATATGTCCTGAATGAGAAACATTGTTTTCATGCATTTAGAGATGAAAGTTGATTTACCACCTTAAATTTGTCTCTGACAGGAAGCAAAGCTTTTAATATTAAGTTAAAAGTTGCCTGGCAAATTTGAACCTAACTGAATTGTAGAATATAGGTCTGAATTTAACTTGTTGTTTAGGCTAGAAACTGGTGAACTACTTATCAAATGATTCCAGTGAAACAGCTCGAGTCAAGTTCCTGTAAGGAAAGAAGGAGGAGGACTAGGAGAGGGACTGCCCTAATTTTGCAGCCTGGATTTGCCAGCCAGTCTTAGCTATTGTAACTGACTTCTGTGTGAGGGTATTATTGATTTATTATTTTATTGTTCTGACAGTAAGAAAGGCCATGTCTCAAACCCTCTTCTTCAATATGAGGTAGACTGTTCTTATTCAAGGCCTGATTGAGGTTTTTTCCTTGATGGGCTTTATTTCCCATCACACTTTCTCTTCATAGATGGCTGCACTCAGCAGTATGGAGAATAGCTTTTCTGTCAGTCTGGTGGGGCTGGCTAGCTCACAGGTTTTGTGAAGGAAGGAAAGGCAGCCCCTTTCTCTCTTCTAGGAGGTGCTTAGGGGAAATCAGGGTGAGGGAGGGAGAACATTCACAACTGCTTGTCTTGATTTCTTGCTCCTTTTTGGAAGGAGGCCCTCCAGTTCTGTAATGTGCTCACATGGTGGCACCTTCATAAACATCAGGAACCTGCCTGGTGGGTAGAGTTCCCTTTTCATTTGTGCTATGTCCATGTGGTCTGTGAAACATTTCCCAGGAGCCCTACCTTAGGTTTCAACTTCTTCCCATAGATATATGGAAAATTTGGTAAGACATCCCCATTTACATATGTCTTGATTTCCAGAAGTACTGCTTTGAAATATATTATTCTTTTGAGCAAATCTGAATTGTGAATTGAAGCTGTGGAACCCTAGGGAATAATGCCTGAAGAGAAGTTAAAGGTGAGACTGCAAACCAGGCTGGTTTCAGAGATGTAAGAATAGAAGATCAAAAATTACTTTCTTCCCTATGGTGCAGTAGTTTCTACATGTCCTTACAGACACAATTAAAATAACATTTGATTAAAATGAATACAACAAAGCACAGTTTTTAGTGGTGCTATATCTCTGGATAAATTTTAAAACCACCAAAATTTAATTATATATTAAAGATTAAAGAGTACATTCTGATTTTAGTTATATTACACTTTCTCTGGTGTATAAGCAGTAAGGCAATTTAATGTAAAATTAAAAATCCTGGGACAACAGCTTCTCTCTCAATTCAAATTAGCATGTCTGAGAAAATAATTTCTGCTTTAATGTTGATTTATAGCAATTTTTCATTCTTTATGTGCTGAAATCCAAAACAATGCTATGCTAATATGGCTGTATTACTTGCAGGTGTTGCTTGAGAGTTGAGTGAACAGTAATTTGTATTTTCTTTGAAGGATCAATATTTCAAGATGTATGAAGGAGAAGGGTCTAACTGAGAAGCTGCCTTGATTCACTGTTATTCTTACTATGACTGGATTGACTGAAAATTGCCTCAAATAGTAAGGTAATTTATAAAAAATATAAAGTGTAACCAAGTGTTTGAAGTAATCAAAGTTAATGAGGAGTGATTTATTTTCACTTTTAAGACACCCTCACTGTTACAGTTTCTTGAGTTTTTCTTTCTGAAATGTTCATATTTGATACTGCATTTGCATGAAAAAAGTGCATTAGATGTTACAACTGCAAGAAAGATTAGATGTGGCAAAATTTAATGAAAAAAATTTTAATAGTTGTGAGAAATTACTCTTAATGTACGCAGGTAATTGGAGAGAAATTTGGTTTCCATTTTTAGTGTATGTCTAGAAATTGATCAAATAACCTGGCTTAGGAAAAGATGGTAGTTTGGAAAGAAGATAGATACATAATTATTAACTAGTGCCTTTTCCTGAAATAGGAATTCAATTCATTTCAGCCCTACCTCGTTTCTCTGTGTAGACATACTTGTTGTAACAAGCAGGTATTACTTTGGAAGCCTCATTGTGTAATACAAATATTATATATGTATATAAGTAAGTAAGATCTTTTTATTTTTTAATCACTAAATGTCCTCATTCTCTATTGTGGATAAAATAATATGCTTATCAGTCTACCAGTATCAATTTACAGTCTGGTTTACAAGCTGTGTAGTGAAGTGGTTTTGCAGTACTAATTACAGAATTTCAATTTTTTTTTTGGTATTTTGGGACTTTGTATTGTGTTTGCCTCTTGCAATGCTCTTTTTCCTTTACTTGAAGAATCTTTCTGTAATTCAATATTTAGTATTTTGTGGGAGGATATCATATATGCTTAGAATAGTATTCATGTGAGAGAGTACTTTAATGGAAAAAAGCTTTTTGTCATCCATTGGTGTGACTGTGCAGAACTGTGATGAGCTTAATTTATACAGAAAAAATTACTATTCTTGCAATGTGTGCTGTTTGCATTTGAGATTTTGATGTAAAGGATAAATTAGTTTTAAAAAGTCAAAGAAAATAGTAGTGAACATGCCAATGTGAAAGAAATTCCCTTTATCTCCTCAGTGGTATTATGAATGTGAAATTCAAATGATTCTGTGAACAATGTAAATTTTTTACATCAAAATGTAATGTTTACTTACATAATAGATCTGAAGTCCTGGGTAAATTTTTTTTTGTTTCATTAATGAATAGCATAGACATACAAAAAAAGTGCAAAAAAATGTTCCTAGTTAGAGAACAAACTGGATTAACTTCTTGATGAATAAATGAGCTTTTTTTACCCTTAAGGTTTAAATTAATGATTTTATAAAAAGGCATACTCAGGCTCTAGTTATTTCCTTTGTTCTATTCTTCTTGCTTAAATTGCACCTGAAATTACATTATTTCAGTGGTGTTAAATGACTTCTCTGATTCTTTTAAATGAGAAATTGAAAATATTCTTAACATATAAAATGTATTTCAAATGAAAGAGCAACAACATAGAAATGTAGGTTGGCACATCACATTTAAGTTTCAGTTTTTTTAATGATGTTTTAAAACTCTATTAGAAATGTAAGATCTGTTGTGAGAATTAAGCTGCTGGGTTTTGTTTTTGATACATTAAACTAAAAAAATACATTCATTTAAAAGCCATACTAATCCTTTAACATCAAATTAGCAGAGAAATTGTTCACACTTACATAAATGTGAAATGCATAACAATAGACATTCATTTATGATTTTGAATAAATTCTCTTTTCTTGGTCTTAGATAATGACGGTACAAGAAAATGGCTGGAGAACAGAAAGTTAGCAGAATCAGCTGCAATAAAGATAGCACACATCTTAATCAAATCAAGATTTAATTAAGCCAATGAAGCCAGTCACAGATTTGATTGAATAATACTAGAAAAATGAAGGATAAATACTAAAAATATGAATTCTAGTAAACTATACCTGTTATTTGAAGTCTTCTCACTAAAATAACATAACAACATGGGTCTATCCATTTGAACAGATGTGGTTTAATAGTCAGTGCCTGTAAAACTGGCTAAAATCACATAGTTTATTCTAAACAAGAAGAAAAATATAGTAATAAATGGAAAGCTTTCTGTGGGGGGAAGTAATAACAGGTGCAATGCTGGTTCATCCCAAATGTCATCTGTGCTTCTGAAGTTTTGATCCAAGGTACTTACCCTGCTCTGAACTGAAAATGTTCATTTTTACAGAATAATAGTATCACAGAATGGGTTGGGTTGGAAAAGACCTCTAAGGTCATCCCATCCAGCCATTAACACAGCACTATCAAGTCCACCACTAAACCATGTCCCAAAAGGGCCACGTGTACATGTCTTTTAAATAGCTCCAGGCATGGTGACTAAGCCACTTCTCTGGGCAATCTGTTCCAGTGCTTGACTGCCCTTTCAGTGAAGAAATTTTTTCTAATATCCAATCTAAACCTCCCCTGGCATAACTTGAGGCACTTTCCTCTTGTCCTATCTCATGTTACTTGGCAGAGGAGGCCAACCTCCACCTTGTTGCAACCTCCCTTCATAAGGTCTCCGTTAAGCCTGCTTTGCTGCAGGCTAAACAGCTCCCTCAGCTCCTCCCCATCAGATCTGTGCTCCACATCCCTCACCAGCTTCATTGCCCTTCTCTGGATATGCTCCAACCCCTCAATGTCTTGCTTGTAATGAGGGGCCCAAAACTGAACACGGGATTCAAGGTACAAGGTACAGCTTCACCAGTGCTGAGTACAGGGGAACAATCACTGCCCTGGTGCTGCTGGCCACACTATTCCTGATACAGGCCAGGATGTCAATAGCCTTCTTGGCCACCTGGACACATGCTGGCTCATGTTCAGCTGACTGCTGGCCAAAACTCCCATATCCTTTTCCACTAGGCCACTTTCCAGCCACTCTTCCCCCAGCCTGAAGCACTGCCTGGGGTTGTTGTGTCCCAAGGGCAGGACCTGGCACTTGGCCTTGTTGAATCTCATGCACTTGGCCTCAGCCCATCAATCCAGCCTGTCCAGATCCCTCTGCAATATTCCTTCCTTCCAGCAAATCAATGCCCCCACCCAGCTTGGTGTTGTCTCCAAATTCACTGAGGGTGCATTTGATCCCTTTGTCCAGATCATTGATAAAGATCCTGCACAGGATGAGCCCCAGTACTGAGCCCTGGGGAACACCACTGGCGACTACCTGCCAAGTTGCTGCCATTCAGCACCACCTCTGAGCCTAGCCATCCAGCCAGGCTTTTACTCAGCAAAGACTATGCCCATCCAAGTCATGGGAAGCCAATTTCTCCAGGATAATGCTGTGGGAAACAGTATCAAAGTTTTTACTAAAGTCTAGTAGACAACATTTACAGCCTTTCCCTCATCCACTAAGTGGGTCACCTTGTCATACAAGGAGCTCAGGTTGCTCAAGCAGGACCTGCTTTTCCTAAATTCCTGTTGGCTGGTCCTGAACCCCTGGTTATCCTGTATGATGCATGATGGCACTCAAGATGATCTACTCCATGAACTTCCAGTTCCAGTCATTGATGAGGTCCCCTCCCAGTTGTCCCTTCTCAAGGCTGAACAGGTCCAGCTCCCTCAGCCTTGACATGTGAGAGAGATGCTCCAGCCCCTTAATTATCTTTGTCTCCTTCTAGGGGACATGCTTCAGGAGCTCCCATGTCTGTCTTATCCTGAGGAGTCCAGGAATGGACACAGCACTCCAGAGGTGGTCTCACTAGGGCTGGGCAGAGGTTCAAGGAAAAAAAAAAAAGAAGGTAGCAGAGAAAAAAAGAAAACTTGAATTCCAACCTTCCCTGCTGTATTTTATCTATAGAATTGAGGTGTCCAGTGATGTAAAAATCACTTCAAAAATCACTTTCAGAGAATCTTGAAAGCAGCAAGTTCTTTCTAACCATTGTTAGGACACTATTCACCCCTGCACATATGATCCTCAGCAGAATTCTTAAGCATAGCAACCTGGGTATGAAATGTACCACAACACTGGTGATATCTGCAAACAAATTATAAGTTGGTTCGTTTATTAGGTCTCACGTAACTCTGTTGGGAGCAGTGGCAGCATGAATTTTGGAGAGAAAGGCAAGAATATTTCTATAGTGTTGAAGTGTTTGTGTCACAGTTCTCTGTTCCTTTCAGTTTTTAATAGTGGGCAGATAACAGATGTAATTGTAACTTCTTTAACAGTATTATTTAAAATTAAATGAGCAAACAGGCTAATTTTTACCTGTTAAATAGGTGTTGCACATAGATGTCTAGTCCCCAACCCTTATCACCAAAAAATGTACCCAGGGCAGCTAGCTGGAGTCTGTACAGTTTGTTCCCTCTGCACTGTTTACCCTCCATTGTTCATGTACATGTTAGGATTTTAAATCTGACAGAATGCCTTAGTCCTCAGTTTATGACAATGTCCCTGGTCTGAGTGACCTCCTCTTTAGCATAACTATTGCAGCATTTCATGCTAATATTAGTGGTTTCTGCTCTACTTCCCCAAGTAGAGTTGGGGAAGTTGAATCTGTGAATCAGATTCTGCTCTTTTGCACAGTATGGTTTTATCAAGAGTATTTCCAGGATTGCAGGAATACTTCCGGACGTGAGTGCTTTTGGAGTTAGCTGTAGGGATGCAGAGAGGATAATTAACCAGTGTAATAAAGAGTGTATTACCTTCTCCTTAGGTATCTCTTTGAAACCGCTGTACTGAATTCTGATGGGTAGAAAAAAATTAGAAAAATAGAAAAAATGTCTGTTTCGTCACATCTCCCAGGTAAATAAATTAATATTTCAGGGAGTGTTTCGGCTGAGCTATATTTTTATGCTCCTTGCATATTTACTAGGAACTAAGCTGAGACTCTTCAGGATACGGCTTCACTTACCACTTCACTATGGTATGGCTGTCAAAGCAGGCTAATGATACATTGATTTTTTTTTCTTGTAAGCAGTTTTGTTCTATTGCAAAACCTTTCAGGGGGAAAGAGATGGGCTACTTGAAAATGTTTGTCTTGTTGAAGTTTGTGCTGAATTATTTGTACTTAAGGAGCAACAAGATCATTTG